CAACAATTAGTGTCACTTCATGCCAATTTCCAACCAAAAATGCATTTGGCTAGTGCTAATCTCTGAACCATCAGCAGAGGTACTCTGTGAGACTATAAACTGGACTGACTGAAACATGACAAGGTACAGTATATAAAATCAAATGCCCTGATGTTTGAATTTTGAATTACCTAATTCCCTACTTGCAATTCTTGTAAACAGTGCACTCTCTCCCTCCTTCTTTACATTGTGCTCACATGTGGATGGACTACTTGTGATGGACCTTCCTTAACCACTACATAGTGAGCCCCCAAAATCACCAGATATTTTTTAAAATGTTGAAGATATTGCCTAATGTTGTTCATAAATTACTAAAATTATTTCTGTCACATTGGAATAAGTAAGTTTTAAAAAATGGCTATTATGTTTCTTTGGTTTTTGCTGAAGTTGACTTACAAAAAAACCATTTAATAGCAAGACATGCACCAATCAGTACCAAGTAATGAACTTCATGCTAAAATACTTCAGGAAATAGTCACCACAGTGCCTGTACCAGTGGTAATGAAGGGTAATATCACAAGGTACAAGGACAAGTATACTACCTTTTTTTAAAAAGAGAAGAAAGAAGGTGCTCCAGGGAAGGATCTGTAACAAATTACTAAATGATAAACCTGCACACTCTCAGGGGAAAGTGTAATGCTAAGCAGCAAGCACTGCGGGTGTCAAGAATAAAAACTATCAAACTAATCCTTTGTGTTCCTCAAATTGAACTTAAACCAGCAATACTGTGATTTTCAAGAAAACCCAACAACAAAATCTAATTTTAGCTCTTATTTAAAAAGTGTTGCATGCTGTATCTGGAGGAAAATTACTGCAGCGTGTTTGACATCAGTGAGGCCTAGTTCTTCACTTGAAAATCACATTTGCTTTTATCTACCACGCTTTGAAAGTGTGTGAGGCACATGAAAATCAACAAGGTGCTTGGTGACAGCCAACATGGCTTCACTAAGGGGAAATCCTGCCTGACCAATTTGGTGGCCTTCTATGATGGGGCTACAGAACTGATAGACAGGGGTAGAGCCGTTGATGTCATCTACCTGGACTTGTGCAAAGCATTCGACATTGTCCCACATGACATCCTTGTCTCTAAATTAGAGAGACATCAATTTGATGGATGGACCACTCGGTGGATAAAGAACTGGCTGGATGGCTGCACACAGAAAGTTGTGGTCAATGGCTCAATGTCCGGCTGCAGACCAGTAACGAGTGGTGTCCCTCAGGGATTGGTGTTGGGACCAGTCTTGTTCAACATCTTTCTCAGCGACACAGACAGTGGGATTGAGTGCACCCTCAGCAAGTTTGCTGATGACACCAAGCTGTGTGGTTCAGTTGGTTCGCTGGAGGGAAGGAATGCCATCCAGAGGGACCTTGACACACTTGTGATGCCAACCTTATGAAGCTGGTCAAAGAGAAAATGAACATGAGAAAGCAATGTGAGCTCACAGCCCAGAAAGCCAACCATATCCTGAGCTGCATCAAAAGGAGCGTGACCAGCAGGTGGAAGGAGGTGATCCTGCCCCTCTACTCTGCTCTTGTGAGACCTCACTTGGAGTATTGTGTGCAGTTCTGGTGTCCTCAACATAAAAAGGACATGAAACTGTTGGAACAAGTCCAGAGAAGGGCCACGAGGATGATCAGGGGACTGGAGCACCTCCTGTATGAAGACAGGCTGAAAAAATTGCAGCTATTCAGCCTGGAGAAGAGAAGGCTGCATGGAGACCTCATAACAGCCTTCCAGTGTCTGAATGGGGGTCTATATGGATGCTGGGGATGGACTCTTCATTAGGGACTTTAGTGATAGGACAAGGGGTAATGGGTTCAAACTTAAACAGGGGAAGTTTAGATTGGATATAAGGAAGAATTTCTTTACTGTTGGGGTGGTGAGGCACTGGAATGGGTTGCCCAGGAAAGTTGTGGATGCTCCATCCCTGGTGGTGTTCAAGGCCAGGCTGGGCAGAGCCTTGGATGGCATAGTTTAGTGTGATGTGTCCCTGCCCATGGCAGGGGGGTTGGAACTAGATGATCTTAAGGTCCTTTCCAACCCTAACTATTCTATGATTCTATGTGAGGGGAATAAACTGGGAAAAAAAAAACAAAACCAACGAACACCAAAAAACAAAAAAGCCCAGAAAATGCCACCCCACCCCCCCCCAACCCAAACCAAACATAAAATGTGAAGAAAAGTTGAAAAAGTGAGGCTTGCTTAGCCTAGAAAAGAAAAAGTATGGAGTGAAACAGGTCTTTTATATATGTAGCCACCTTAAAGAGCTCTAGGAGAGCACCAATTGATGAAGTTCACCCTGTTTTGGACTAGTCCCTTCTCTAATAAATCTCTCTTGGGGAGAGCTAGTTGGCACAATGCAAAGGAAGCCTGGGAGTAACCAAACAATTTTAACAAGACAGGCAGTACTTTGATTCTCAACTGTCCCCTGAGCAAGACAAGTGTAGCTGCCGGAGTCTGCATTTTTCTCAGTCATTATATAGTCAGGGAAGGGATTAGTTATTTACCTAACACAGAAAGGTAAAGCATAGAGCATATTTCCAGTTTGATCAATTTTTTTTTAAGACTAGAAATTCATTATGAATATTTTGCAATGGTTACACTGTGGTATGTCATTACCATCTCCAGAATTTATCTTAGCTGCATAGGTACCGCTGCTAATTCTCTCTCTGTAACTCTGAAATTTGAAAAAAGTAAGTTCTTGTTCAGAACAAAATGACTTCAAATGACAAGATTGGTCATTTTTATAAGCCCTTTTTTTTTTTTTTTCCTTTCTCTTTATTATTCCCTCTTTAATGAGGTGAATACTAATTATTTGATCCTTTAGATTACTTCTTATACCTTTTTATGATCTCCTGAGACATCACCTCTGCTTCACATGAAAATACAACAAGCAAAATACTTTTGAGAAACTTTTAATCTAAAACACATCCATGATAGTCATATCAGAAACAGTGGTGTAACTCTGAGATCAAGAGCAGGGTCACAAGCCTCATGTTTTGTTAGCAGGTGATCTCTATCTGTGTTTCTCCACTTACACAAGCAGAAAATAAGAGGTGACATTGTAATGATAATGAGATCTTTCTTCTTGTTTAAAAGCAACCATAAAATAAAGAATACATTGTATTGATTTATTTTAAATTGGGAGTCTTTCATTGCTTCTCATATTTAAAAATAAGAATCCAAAAATCTCTAGAAAGTAAAAAGCTTGGTGGAAGATGGCCTTGAAAGTTACTTTCCCAGTATGCGTTTTTCTGTTTCTCTGGCACTCAGCTTCATTTCCAGTCTCAGTTTTCATTTCAGTATGTTTTGTTTCTCCTGGACAGTCACTCAGTGACAGAAATGTCACATCAGGGAATAAAACTGCGAACTGCAATATGTTGTTACGACCATACTGCAATTTGAACAATAGCTAACACGAGAATACCAGATAACTGGTAGAAATATATCAACATATATATACAAAGTCACAGTACAATAGCTGACAGCAGCAGTCTGCTTTCTGAAAGCTGTTTGATGGAATATTTGGACCATGCATTGTCCATCCATGACAGAAAACTTTCTAGGGAACTGCACAAAGAAAGCAAAAATGAGGAAACACTGTTCTTTCTGAGAACAGGTTTGACTGTTTATTTTGTCTTGTATACTTTGCCTCTAATTTCAGTGACTTAAAAAAATATAGCAATGCGCAGATTGCAGGTTTTGGGTCACTCTCTGCCTTTTATTGTTTTTTTCTTAATGGAAATATACAATTTAAAATATATCTGCCTTTCCAATCTGTGTAGTCACTGAATATGAAGTTGTACACCCTGCCTACATGTAAACAGCTGAGTCTCCATTGAAATAGGAGATCATTCAAATGACAACATGTTTACATAGAAGAATACCTATGTGAAAACTATCTGCATGAGAGGGCAACCAGTTTCTTCGCACCAAACTTTGCATGTCCTTTCCTGACCACAGGGGCCCTCAATGATATGCTTTAGTAATGGTCTTTGCAGTCCTGGCGTAATGGTTGGACTTGATGATCTTAAAGGTCTTTCCCAACCTACTAGATTCTATGATTCTATTTTCTGATGGATTCCTTCATTTGTAATTGATGCATTACAATTCACTATCACAGAAATGATAACATCCCACAGAGTTATCACACCCTCCGACAGCTAAGCTTCTACAGGCACAGCTTTATTGCCTTGCCACTACCCACATGTCAGAGAAAATGCATTGGCTAGGCTTGCTGGGCAGAATTCACTACACTGGTTTTGGGTTTCTACTTCAATTATTTTGATGTCTGTTCATTTTGTCATGTGTAGCAGCAGAAAATGAGTGAGGCACAAAATGTCCCTCCCAACTTTGTCTCTGTCCTTATAACTAAACCTGGCCAATTTAATTTCATACCTATTTTGGTGGTCTTTGGGATGAAAAAAGGCATGGCCACATGTGTTAAGAATTGAACAAGAATAAAATAATTCTCCTCCTTCAAGAGTGATTTAAAATAATTACACATACAAAACCAGTAAAAGTTTGATTTCATTCTATCAGATCTTACACGTGATTAGTACTATTCATCACCCTGCAGCCAACAAAAAGGCGACAAAACACCATGCTGTGTATTCTGCTTATTTTGACAGAAATGTGATTAAGGATTTATGCTTGATCTAGATTAAATTAGTCATGGCAGGTGATCTGCTAATTCACAAGACTAATATTAGCAAGTGTCAAAGTAGGGCTGCACAGTTCAGGACTACCTGCTGCCTTCTTTATTGGTTATTCTCTAAAATGTTGAGGCTAGACTGATTAGATTACTGGTTAATAGGAGCATGTGACTTTGGAAGAATCAGCTTATTAACTGTTACAGCCAATGTTAAGCATGCATTCCAGTAACATAATTAAACTAACTACTAATGAGGCTAGTAATGGCAGTAATGGGACTTTGCTTGTTAAGTAATAACTGTGTTTACTTTTAAGCTTATTGCCAGTTTATTGTTTTCATCTGTCATCCACAGGTATGCTGTGATGGTGTGTTCTGTTTCAGAGAAAAAAATGTCAGTTACTGATAGCAAATGAAAATACACTCAAGACAGCAGAATTATAAAGCATGATGTTCCAGTGGCCAGTAAAAGGTTGTTTACATCTGGACATTAGCTTCCCAAATAATTTCAGTTAGCATTTGATGAAATCAGCTTTAATCAGAGCAAATTAGTGGTTTTCCCTCTAAAATATTTTTAGTACAAACATACTTGAATAGATTTCAGGAATCCACTTAGTATAAATTGCCTTATGTGTCCATTTTGCATAAGTGTTAGTGGCACAGATGAAAAGCACAAATAAACAAATATCCCCGAATATGTGTTGAAATGTAGTACACCTGATCATCAGAGCCATTTTAAAGACCACATTGTGGCATATGGCAACGAACTGTTTATTCCAGATATACACATTTGAAAGACAAATGCTTGCTACTCTAACAGGTATTGTTTTCCTTCCTACCCTCTTCCTTAAAATAAAGCATTTCTCCTTGTTTCTAATATTGTTACTTTCTATTTCCATTCAGCAAAGTTTCTTGCCTTTGTCACTTCAATGCCACATCTGAGTTCTGCTTAAACATCTGACTTAGATCCCCATATATATCCTGAAAAAAAATGGAACATTTGTAGTTGTTCCTTAGTGACTTTGTCCCAAGAAAATGGGCATATTCCATTTTCCAGAAAGGAAATATCGCATGGAGGGAAGGGGAAGGCAACATGTCACCTACCAGTCTCTGTTCCAGTCCCAACATTTGCTTCCTGTGCTGGGCTCAGCCCTTCACCAGGTTCCTGGCTGCTGTCATCCAACAGCCACCTTCACCACCAGAGAGTGTGCTGAGCCTCTTAAAGCCTTCGTAGTCCTCTGGGCTGTTTTAAAGTAAATAACATTTGCTGTAAAGGAAAAAAAAACCTGTAGGGAAACCTGAGGTTTGAGGGTGAAGTACTTCTAAGAATGCAACTGATACTGATAGGAATTTTTGGACAAGGATGAACTTTGCTGGCTGTGACCCAGAGAACTGCCTTCCTGTATCTATTGCCTGTTGTGGCCAAAGCTGACACATCTGCCAGCTCTGAGTTCCTTCCAACTGTTTGGTGTCCATTAATAAAAGCTTTGGGTATCAAACAGTAGCAACAAAGAAATTATAAAAACAGACCAAGAGACATATGGCAAACATAAGCGTGATAGCTGCACAGAAAAACTTAGCACATTGCTTACATTGCTCTTGTCATGAGAAAACTGCTCAGGCTGACCTACTTTACGGTTTGACATTCTTTTTAAATGCTCTAGGGCAGGTACTTTTTAAAGCAAGATACTTTTGTTCTGCCAAGGTACATCTACAACATACTGGCTGCCAGTACTAATATTTCTTCTAAAAAGATATTTGAAGGACAGGTCATATGTACTGTTAGAACAGAAAACATAAAGGAAAATGTCTGTAGGGTTGAGGGAGAGGAATTGCATATGCAAACAATAGAATTAATGCTGCAATATTTGCTAAGTTTATTGGTACAGCTTTTATATACTGTCAGCTTTCTTCATTTGGATTAACCAAGAAGGAACTGAATGTCTTTGCCAGATATTTGTCTTTAGAAAAGACTGATTTCCAATTAGTTCCATTAAAATTAACAGAGAATTAATTTGAGCAATATTTTTGATGCTTTTGGTTTCTAGTTACAGTAATAATTATTTTCAATAAAATTATTTGCATATTAACACCAGGTTATAAAACACAGGCATTTCCACTTATCTGTACTATCCCCATTAGGAGCTGGCTTGTATTAATAATAAATAACTGTGTACAGTGAACTTTATGTATTTATTTGTTTCATTCTGTCTTTTGGGATAATAGGATATACAGGAGGAGCTGTGGGAAAACAGAGATCAAGCAACATTAAGCCAAGTTTTGTTCTGTAACTTCTCATTTACTCTGTCAGGTTTTGACTGGAGAGGGAGCTGAAATAGTACATAAGAATAAACAGGATAAATTTCAGCTTAGCTCAGAATTCTCTGACTGTTGGATCTGATTCAATTTTTTCTGAAATCACTGGAAAAGTTCTTATTGATTTCTCCAGGAACTGGGTCAGACTTACTCAGACCCTTGAGACAAATTCTTTGTTCTGATGAATCTCACTAGTCCCATGGAACTAATGAGTTCAACAGCTGTAGCTAAAGGATAAAGTTTACCCTATGCTTTTTCTTTATAGAGTTTAGTTAGGGTTATAAATCCCATTGCCCTTGTGTAAGGGAAGGAGGGAAAAACACAAAGGAGAGAGGTAAGAGTTCATTTTTTATTATGAGGTAAACAGCAGAAAGGCACAACATTTCAGATAAGCCTCATATGTTGACCTTGAGAACTCAAACACTGTCAACCTACTCTGTACTTTTGAAAATGAATTCAGCAGGGCCTCATTTGTTTCACGCTTCTGACCTTAATTTAACTGTAAATATTTTTATCATAATTTTGATGACTGAATTAATAAATCTGCCTCCAAAACATTTTCCCAGTATGTAATTGTTCTACTTCATACCCAGGCATAGATGAGATCCGCCCTGGTAAGCAAAGCCCATTCTACCATCTGAGTAACTGTGTCACACTGTCCATATGTTCCTTAGTAGTAAGGAGGTCATCCCACTTTATAGGAAGTTTTAAAGATCCATTAGAAATTGAATTTGAGTAGTTTAAATAAACAGATGATGGGTTACATGAACAAAAACTCCATTTTATAGAATAAAATTATACTGCACGAACATTTGCATGCTTTGTAACGTTCAGTGTAGTATCAACAAATTAGCCACATTTAAACCTTTACTTTTCTTTGCAATAGCCTACAAAATCCTTTTATCTCCCTTCAAAGGTACTTACTGGTTGCTCAGCAAGTACAAGTCTTCCATATGCTATTGTTATTCACTGTCACTGCCATAACCAATAAATAAGAAATAGCAAAAAACAATTTTCAATAAGCTTTGAGTTCTCAGATTTTTTCATTATGACCTGTGTTCTCCACAGAGGAAAACACAATAGCTGAAGTTAACATAGAAAGCTGATCTGACTAAATGACATGAGATCTGTTTTTGTCACAGTAGATTACTTCAGACTGAAACACCAAAACCCATTTCAGAGCACTGTAGACATCCACATTATCTCTAATTCCTGCTGATGTTAATCAAAATTATTGTCCTATTTGCAAAGTACTTAATACCATTTTCCATCTTGATTACCATTCATTTCATTTAGCCCTTGCCATCTGCTTTATTTTGTGGTTCTCTGATGGTCATTTGAAATAATGTCTCAAATATTATTTCCATGGTGCTCATTTTGATCAGAATATAAATACATAATAATAATTTAGGCAATGTATAGTATATTAATATGCAATTAAATTCTGAGGAGTTATAATAGAGTTTACAAGTGCTTTTTGAGGGGGGACAAGACAGAGAAGAGTTTTTCTAAAACAGCAGGCTTTCACCCTATGGACATTTTAGAAAGTTGGCACCTCAAAAGCAAATTCCTGACAGAGACTTCAGATGTCAGGAATATACTATGAGTATGTTTATCAAGATATAAAGAAACTTGTAAAGTTAAAAGTAGAAATGTTACATGTAAGATTGACTCTTAGGAAAAAAAAGTTACATTTGAATTTTAACAGTGCAGGGATCAATGAACTTACAAGCTACTATATCAGAGAATGCTAAGCAGATATATTCACTTGTATTCTCGTTATTATACCATTACAGTTTTGCCTTTGAGTGGAAACCTCTAGCCAGTTAGGTCAAATTACTGCTACAGGAGTGCACCCAACACTTCCTACTGTTACAGCTTTCCAGACGGGTGATTTAATAGAGAAAGAACATAGAGGTGAACAGCGCACAATCTGAGGAAAGACAGAGTGTGGAGATGTGGAGATGCAGAAAATATGAGAATTTGCTGTCACCAAGAATATAAGTGGCCACAGCCACAGAAGGAGATAGTACAAAATGCTCTGGCAGCAGAAACACTGGAATATAAAAACTTAGAAGGTCCTGTCGTAAAAATAATGATGACAAAAAGCTTTTGCCGTTCAATGTATTTGTCTTGAAGTCAATGCTGACATCGTTAGACAAGGCAAGACAAAATCTCAGTGACAAAATCTCAGTGATGGAATAGTTAGTTAAATTAACATCTGCAGACAGCTATGGAACAGTTAGTCTCCAAAAGTGTTCTGGTAATGTCTAGTGAGCCTCCTCACTAGCATTTTTGAAATACAAAATTATTCTATTGGCTGAGTTCAGTAAAGATGTCATCAATTTCAGTGGTACATGAAAAAAGCACCAAAAGTATTGTGTAAATACCCAGGCAACGTCTTAATGAAAAAAAAAAAAGAAAATTAACTATTCTAAGGAGCCAGTTCTATCCATAAAAAAAAAAAAAAAGCATCACTCTTTTCCTGACACAAAATCATGAAGTGTCCACCAGAGTCAGCTAAACACAAACAAAAAGGTGAGCAGCCATTCTGGGCCACAGATATCAATCATGAGGCGTTAATGTATTCTACTTGCTGTACAAGTGTGCTCAGAAGAACAATGGGGTCCGTGTGCCTCTCCATTGTTAGATCTAGGGTTTTTGGAATTTTGCTCTCTATTTAGGTCCTGGCTGTCCTGGCTCGGAGCCAGCCAACAACAAGCTTATCCTCCCCTCCCACATACAGAAAATTAAAACCTGTGAATTTGTTCTCTCCCTCTGGAAAATGTAACCATAAGGGCCCAAAGCCTTGCCATTGCAAAGCTGAGTAAAGCAGTACCTCACAATAAGAATATTTCAATTATAAAAAGACCCATTGCTTGTTTCCAGTTCCAAAACCTGATGCAATATCTGGAAGCATGGTATTTCCATTGAACTAGGCATCGCTGCCTGAATCCCAGGTGGCAGAATTTGTGAGCTCCATAAAAAACTTTGTTCCTGTAAACTGAGTTTTGCCAAAAAGCATATATAGCCTCTTCCTTGCAGGTACCCACCTTTGTCTCAACAAATCTCTGCACCTCCCACTAGTTTCACATAATTCCAAAACAATCCCCAGAGCTGAACTGGCTCCTACTCCCACTCAAGCACAAGCCTAATGACCTCTCCCAGCCAGTTATCCCATGTAATGACTTGTTGAGCTTCCTCATTAGTCATTTGATATTGTCTGAGGAATGAGGAAGGGGAGAAAGGGACTTTTGACAACAGCTTACCAGATAAATTAAAAATAAGCAAAGTTTGGCAGGCTTATTCATGGTTGTGATATCAAAGATATTTCATGCTCTCTGGGACACGGTAGACTGTGTGAAGTGCTCATGATGTGCATGACCTTCATCCTGACATGTATGACCCTCATCCTGACATGCATGACCCTCATCCTGATGTTCATGACCTTCATCCTGATGTGCATAACTCTCACCATTTTAAGACCTGTGTTGTCTGGACATGAGAGAAGACTCTGAGTAGCAATTTTCTATTGCCACTTAAATGTACCAGGCTGTTGGAAAGGAAGGAATAACCTATTGTTCTCATTCTTCCATTTCCCTAATAGAGAAAAATTAAAGGTATCAGAACTAGAGCTAAAAAAAAGCAGATTGTGGGACTATAATTGCAATGAGGATATGCTGCCATCAGAATATAATAGAAAATATATTCCTGTCTAATGCTGAACCTTGGAAAATGAACTTCAGCAAATGGTTTGCAAATATGTTAGGTTCTGAATGCTGCAAGATTAGTGTTAGAGTATCAGCTTTAGTGCACTGGCCACCTTCCAGTCTGAATAATTGCATGCTGCTTACTCAAACAAGCCTACAGTGTCACTTGAACATGGTATTCTTCTCTTCCTATCTTGAAAAGTGGTACAGAGCTGCTGTGAGTTCATTAATAATAGAGCACTTCAAAAGTAGGCAATCCTCCATTCTGTCATACTGTTTGCAAATTGTCTTAGAGCAATGTAGGTGTGTATAAAATGAACAGCCAGACACAGTCAGACCCTGGCATTAGTGAACTATTTGAGTGCCAGTGGCTTTAAGCAAGGTTACTTTGGTTCCTTACACTCTTCAGAAGGTCACTAATTTTACTTGCTTTGCTCTGAATTCTTTCTGTAATCCTGTTAGGAATAAAACTGTAATAATCTTTTTCACATGTCTATGGGATTTTGTGCTGTAACTTTAGGAGTTTTGAATTTCTTCTGCCATGTATTCTGAGAACAACCAGTTCTGTATGAGACTAAAACAACTACACGTCACTCTTCACACATCCAGTAGGTACCTAAACTCTCATTATAGTTCAAAGATTAATACAATGCTCCACACTAAAGATGAATTTAATTTTTAGGTGAAAAGGCAGCTACAGTTTATATCTAGGACAGCACAGCAGCTCTTGGTGCTCAACAGCTGTGCTCACAGACCTCATTCATAGATCTCTCAAAGCAAGTCCAGTTATTTATTGCTCCTTATTGTCCTCCCACGTTATTCACTGCCAAGCCTTATCTCAGACTTCCTATGCACATGCAGATGTACCTTGCTGGCTGTGGCTCTGGTCTCTCTGGAACCTAAGGAAGAAGGGCAATGAAGTCAAAGATGCACATAAACTGTGGCAACTGGAAAACAAGTATTAACATCCTGGACAGTGCTTTGAATGTGCAGAATGCCCAGAATGCCCCAAAGGATAGTAATACCAGAAGGGAGCTTCTGCACACATTTGCTGATAAAAAGATCTCTGTAAAATATTTCTGTCTTGATTTTCTGCAACACTCTGGGCACTTCTGGATATACAAAATATTTTACACTCTCATTGCCTCTTTTACAGAATGCAAAGATTACAATGTCTGGGTCTAATAGAATAATTTCATCTGTAGGTGAGAAAATATATATGTAATTTTATATCTTATACAGATATTACTAATGAGACTGGGACTTAATAACTTTACTACATTGATATGGTTACATTGCACCATTTCTATTAAAATTCAGTTGCATGTCAGTTTACTTTTGGTTTTATCCATGTACAGATAGAGCAGTTCCTCTTGAAAAAATCTCTGGGTTATAAAAAACATTTGTTGTACCGATTAAGCTCTTGGCAACTTAGTGGAGAGAAGCCCAAGATGTGTTGA